AATATGCAAACCAGTCTCTCTCTATCAATCTCTATCATCTTTAGATCATTTATCATCTTTATCTATAGACAAGGATAGAGTACGGTAGTGTAGCAGATAGACCACACTGAAATTGCTTTGTTCTGGTTTTGTTTGAAAAATCGTCTCCCAGATTTCTGGAGATTGTCATGGGGGGTAGGCACTGGAGATGTCTGGTCATGCCGTGCTGGAGAAGATCCGCCATGAGGCCGAGGATGGAATCATAGAAAAATGACTATTCTTATCTAAAGTTGATTGAAGTTATATAAAGTTATATAGATAGTTTGAGGGATCATTGATTTGTATACTTCTCATACTTATACTCATACTCATAGTCATAGCTATAGTTATAGCTATACAATGAGATGGAAGCCTGGAAAGTTATGCCAGGTAGGAAGCCTCCAATTCGCAGAATTTGGTTGAATTCATGTCCATTTCTGGTTTTTAGCATCCCCAAATCTGATTTTGAGGTACCCCAAAAAATTGAAGGGATAAAACATATATAAAAATTGCATAAGTCAGGTACACGTGGTTCCATGATATTTCATGTTTGAAGTTTTGGTGCGTCCCAGGTCTGCAGTTGGGATCCACCCCAGTTGCCTGTGACGGCCTCAAGTGATGGATGATGATGAGAACCAGTGGATAGAATGGTGAAGAGTCTTCGAGTTCTCAGACATACCCAGATGGAGGTAAGTCAAAATTTAGTACGCATGCATAATACATATATATATAATTTATATAATATTAACATAATATATTATAAGGATATTGCTTGCTTTCTGTGATTTAGTGGGTATTAAATTTTAACCCAGGCCTCCAGCACAGAAACTTATATCATATATCCAGCAAAGAAGTGTTTGTTTTCAGCAACAAGTTCAATGGTTGTCAAATGCTCCTTGGAGTATTGTCTCATCTTCAGATATTGACAGGCGGTTTTAGGGTACTTTGGTGCACAAAATGTTTGCGAAGTGTGATACAATGTCAATTGAAAAAGATGCAATGCTGTTGTATTGTGTCGCTTGGTCTTGTCTCAAGTTCTGCAACTTGCAGCGCTTTGATTCTTGGCTTTCTGAGGGAGTGGTTCCCTTTGCTGCAAACCTTTCAGGTGGGGTCATGTGTGTTTTCCCAAAATGGGGCCAATCGCGGCAATCCCAACATTGTTCTTTTTTTTCCATTTGATCACAAACATGTGGGTCATTTGTCTTTGTCCTTATCCCCATTCTCATCCAATGGCTATTTCAATGATACCCGTAAAAAAATGGTAAAACAGGGATGCTAGGACAAGACAGGTTGGAGGTCAGGGGGGAGGCTGTTATGTTTTTGTTCAATGTTGTAAATCTAAATGTTTGACTGTTTCTTTTTGATTATCTTGCTAAATGTTTTGTTGAGGTTGTTGTGATAATGTTTGGATTGAATGAAGGGGATAATTGTTGAGGTGGTCAGAGTTTCTATGTGTAGGTTCAGGTTCAAATTCTACCAAGCTGTTGTTCAAAGATGTCGAATTATTTGCTTCAAATTCATGTATTGATTGAGGTTAGGCGCTGTGGTTCCTGTTTGGTTTTGCATATCAACATCCTTCAATACCAAAGCCAGTTTGGCACAAATTAACTGAACCTATGTATTGTCCTTCTTCTTCGACATTCCGCAGATGCATCTTTGTGAGGCAGGTTGAGCTTGCGCCAGGCCGGTTCGTCCTTCCAAGCGGTCATGCACGAACACAGCCCGCAAGGGCTTTTCCGGCGCAGACCGTTAAAACTGGTTGGACGTTGTTGAGCACAGGGAGCGTCGTAGTGCTGGTTCTCCAAACAGGGCAGTGAGGAAGGCTGGGCAAAGGCTGAAAAGGAAAGAGCCCGCCCCTGCACGGCCTCTCGAGGAGGAATACATCAAGGACTTCATCAATTCACCTCAAGGTGAAGCTTTGAGCACCCTTTCCTTCTTGGTGGTCAGTGGTTCCCAAGGCATTGGGAAATCAACCATGCTGAACAATCTCATGTGTGAGCATGTGAAGAATGGCAAAAGGGTGCTTCCTCTTGATATTTCTGTTCGTCCTGGTGAGGACTTGAAGCTGAACGAGGCACTACCCCAAGCGTTACAAGCCGTAGATTTGCCCCGATATTACCCGTCAAATGTCAAATTTTTGCTGGAACGGGTGAATGAGACGTCCAAGCACCGAACAGGCAGTGCCGTCGTGGTATACCTGCAACTCCAACCAAAAGCCGCGGAGACAAATTTAGTAGGGATGCCTGTGATGACATTGCTTCCACCCTCGGTGCCTTCGCTCGCAACATCACCTACGACAATGCCGCGTGCAAGTTCATTTTGGAGGTCAGCGTGTCTGCCGTGGCCGACATCATCACCGAAAGGTTTAACATGTCAGATTTGGTGGTGGTGCGACCACTACCTTTCGAAGACTTCACGTCTGTGGTCAAGGAGGTGGCAAAGCAGGGAAACAACTTCCGGACGCTGAACAAGGTTCTTGCCGACGATGAGATAGAGGAGGTGTTGAAGCACTACTACATCCGCACAGGGGGCAACTTCTGCGCCTTGGACTTGATACTGCGAAATGTCTCCAGAGCAGGTCAGAAAGGTGCGGATGCGGTCATCGAGCAGGTTGAGCAGTGGTACAAGGAGAGGGTGGAACCATTTGAAAAGAAATTGGATGACCAGGAAGTGAAGGACTATCTCCTCAAGGTGGCAGAGGCAGGACCCATGGGGTATCTCCCACACAGCAAGCAGACGACCCAAATGAAGTTGAAGCTTCTTCGTGAGGAGCCAGCAGACTGCGTCCTGAGCAGAACAACCAATTTAAGTGTGGCTTTGAAGCATTGGCATTTCGTCGCCAAGCTCTTTCAAGAGGATGAGCAGAAGTTGAGGTATGCAGGATACATGCGAGCTTCGCCGGTGAAAAAAAACTGTGGCGCTTGAGATGTTTTGTGGGTGAGTCATCCAAGAGTAATTTTCACGTATTGCATGCATAGCCGCAGATACCCAACCTAGTATCAATAATACCCAGATACCAGTATCCAAGTATCAACGATACCCAGAACCGAGTATCAATGATGCCCCAAACCGAATATCAATGATACCAGTATCCAAGTATCAATGATACCAGAACCGAGTATCAATGATACCCAGAACCGAGTATCAATGATACCCCAAACCGAGTATCAATGATACCCAGATACCAATATCCAAGTATCAACAATACGCAGAACCAAGTATAAATGATACCCTGATACCAGTATCCAAGTATCAACGATACCCAGAACCGAGTATCAATGATACCGTGATACCAGTATCCAAGTATCAACGATACCCAGAACCGAGTATCAATCATTCACCGAACAAGCAACAACAGACAAATCGTTTCACCCTGAACTTTTTTAGCCAAACCATCAAACACGGACAAATCGTTTCACCCTCAACTTTTGACAAAAGCATGAAACACGGACAAATCGTTTCACCCTCAACTTTTATAGCCAAACCATCAAACACGGACAAATCGTTTCACCCTGAACTTTTGAAGACAAAAAATCCTTACTTCAACAAGTGTCCTAAAACCATCGTTTTAGCATTCAAAAAAAATCAATTTAGGACACTTGTTAAAAACACAATTTTTAGAGCAACAGACCCAAAAACACTTCAAGAAACGACGCCTTATAGAATCAGGAATTGAATATGCCCTGCTATATGTATATTAACGGTATGAAACAAGAAATGGACGAAGACCTTTTTGACCAAATGGCGGAAGCACTACACCAATCCAGCAACCCTCAAAATCCACCAACCACAACATCCACAAGATGGAAACCCGACGGAACTTACGACAAGAAACCATTAGACCCCAATTATTTTTCAAAGTATTATCAAAAGAAATTATCAACCCCTTTCACCTGTCCAGACTGCGGACGAACCATCACAAGCAAATCCAATCTATCAAAACACCGTCAAACCAACAGATGTATGAACAGCAGACGACACTAAAAATAAAACCTTCTCATTAACAACGCTTTGTTAATCAGAATGTTTTATCTATTCATTGTCCATTCCCGTTTGTTTGACACAGTTGTTCTTTTGATGCCATAGAGCATAGTATTGAAAAAAATAACGCTTACAAAACGGACATTCAACCTTCAAAAGGCGTTGTTCTATTATTTTCTCTTCATTCAAACGGCGTTTTTCTATTATTTCCTCTTTATGTTTGTGATAGTATGCTCTGGCACGTGCCTTGCCTCTTTCATAGTATTCTCTCGCTTGCTCTGGATTGTCCAGTTTCCACTCCTGTTGCGTCCTACCTGCAATCTGTCTATTGACACATTCTGTTGCTTTGATATGTCCCCCTTCTCTTTTGAACAATTCTTCCTTACTTTGACACGGGTAGTTCTCAATCAGTTCAATCGTACAATTCTCAATACCGAATTCATTGAATATATCATATATCTATTGCGGTTGTCTTCTTTTTCATCCTCCCTTTGATGTATTCCTTATATTGTTTTCTATGTCTTTCCATTCTTTTACTCAAAC